CAGAGTAGGTATTAATCTTGTAAAACTTCATTTAAAAAAAAAAAAAAAAGTTTTTCTTGAAACGTAAAACAACCAAACCAAGCAACTGCTTACTTCCTTTTTTGTAAAGCCACCTGGTTTTTTAACCAAAAATCTTACTCTTGTTCCCAAAAGCATTCTTCTGGAGTGGCCCTGCAGGTCAGGGGTGCTGGCTGAAGCTGGTGACATCCACTGTGGCTGTCAGTGAGTATAGGACTGAGGAATGAGCCACACCTTGGAAAAACCTATTGAGGTTTTGGCTGGCTCTGTTGTGAAAAGTGAATAATACTGCAGTCAAATGTACAAATTGCTCCATTACAATAGTTTGGGGCATTTATAAATGTATAACAACTTTCCAACCAAATGAGAACATCTGTAAAATTACCTGACGTTCTTCAGCATTCTGGTTTTCCAAATTTCCAACCTGGCCTTGAACCTGGCCAAATTTCCAACCTGGCCTTCCAGGGAGGGGGCAGCCACAGCTTCTCTGGGCAGCCTGTGCCAGGGCCTCACCACCCTCACAGGGAAGAATTTCTTCCTTAGATCTAATCTAAATCTCCCCTCTTTCAGTTTAAAACCGTTACCCCTCATCCATCCCTACCTTCCCTCAACAAGAGTGTGTGTCCCCCTCCCAGCTTTCCTGTAGCCCCTTTCAATACTGGAAGGCCGCTCTAAGATCTCCCCAGACCCTTCTCTTCTCCAGCTGAACCCCCCAACTCTCTCAGCCTGTCCTCACAGTGGGGTGCTCCAGCCCCCAAGCATCTTCATGGCCTCCTCTGGACCCGCTTGAGCAGGACACAGGTCCTTCTGACGTTGGTGCCCCCAGAGCTGGACCCAGCACTGCAGGGGGCTCTGGTGAGAGTGGAGCAGAGGGGCAGAATCCCCTCCCTTGAGGGGCCACACTGCTCTTGATGCAGCCCAGGACACAGTTGGCTTTCTGGGCTGCAAGCGCACAGTGCTGGCTCACAGTCAGTTTTCCATCCATTAACACCCCCAAGTCGTTCTCCTTGGGGCCGCTCTCAATCCACTCATCTCCCAGCCTGTAGTTGTGATTGGGATTGCCCTGACCCATGGGCAGGACCTTGTACTTGCAGGGCCTTGTTGAACTTCATGAGATTGACACAGGCCCACCTCTCAAACCTGTCCATGTCCCTCAGGCTGGCACATCCCTTCCCTCCAGTGTGTTGCCTGCACCACACAGCTTGGCATGGTCAGCAAACTCGCTGAGGGTGCCTCGATCCCACTGTCTGTGTTGTCAACAAAGATGTTAAACAGCGCCAGTCCCAACACTCGAGGAACATCACTTGTCACTGCTCTCCACTTGATGAGTTGTTACATCCTCCTCCTTCCTTCTGGGTCATTTCTATGGGCTCTGACAATGTTACGGCTTCATAGACAGCTCCAGGACCTAACTCTATGAGTTTCAGTCCATGGGAAATGTCATGTAGAATGTGCCATGTTCAAGATGATCTTGATGTCCTGTTTATATTGAGAAAGAAAATTACTGGTGGCCAATGGAAGCTCTTGGCAATTTTTCTTTGGAAAGGCACAGGCTAAGATGTTCTCTAGTATTGGAAACAGTAATATTTATCTTGATTTTATGGGCATGCAAACTACTTCAGTTTGTTCTTGAAGGTAATATGCTGATGGTTATTAGATTCACTCAAATGGCGATTGGCAGGTCCCTCTGGATGTCCATTATTATGAGATTAATAGGTATGATGCGTGTAAGGCTCAAAGTCTGATGAACGCTTAGAAGAGGAAAACAGCTTCGTTAACAAAAGGGCAAAACCCTTGTCTGCTGACTCGGTTGCTAACGCACTTATCAAACAAGCTTTCTCCTGTGGTTAGGCAAAACTAAATGTGTAAAACCGAGGGATTTCAATTGCAAGAGAGCATAGCTTAGCTACCCTGAAGCAGAGCTCTCCGGAGCATCCCAGCCGTCCCCGAACGCCCTGTCTGTAGGACTGTGAGTGCCGGTGGCTCCCTCTGCGCCACAGTGCTTCGCCAAAGGGCACCTCCTGCTCGCTGGGGGTGCAGGCACAGCCAGGCTGTGTTGCTGCTGTCTGGAATCACTCGCAGATGATGTCATTTCCCGCCACACTCCTAAAAAAAATACCCAGTATTCACGAAACTCTTGCTCTAAGGGCGGTAATGTATTGAGTGGCTATCTGGCATCTAAATATGCCGTATGTCCCCTGAGGTTGCAGACAGACATTCTGTAACCAGAATTCAGAGATGTCACAAGTGGCTGAACAAACAAATATTGCCAGTTAATGGTTAAACTCTCAATTTACTAAAGCATTTGTTACCGGTTTGCGAAAGAGATCAAACAACCGTGAATCATAACCTTGGCTACTAATTAAATCCTTTATTCCCTTCCCTCATCGCAGAAGCATTTAATCTTGGGGAATCAGGACAGCCTGTTGTGCAGAATTAGATTCTACAGCATAAGCAGAAACAAGCTTACTGTAGGGTTTCCTGCTGGAACTGGAAATGGGAAGGAATAAAATGAGAATATTAGCTTTCCCTCCTGGCATAGAAGTTCACGTTAGCACTGAACAATGATTGCTGTAAAGTAGCCGCATTGGAAAATCGTTTTGGTGGTATAGTTATTTCACCGAATGGCAAATATCACTTTTATTATCCATCTGCCTTGCTTACAGATGAGACTTGTCATCTAGATAGAGAATGAGGGATTTGGTGTGCCTTACTGGTGACCGTCTGTCCCAAAGAAAATTATTTTACTCAGAAATAATGGACTGTGAAGAACACTCTAGAGGAAATGAGGCATAAACTAAAATACTACAAGCAGTTTTATTGCGATTAAAATTTATTTCTATTTGTCATAAGATGGTTTTGTGTGCATTTATGTATAGGATGTATAGGTGCGTGACAGTTACCCTTTTAATAGCAAATTAAGCAGCGCTTACCTTTCTGGCACCCATCTCTGTGAAGCAGAACTTAAAAACCCAAACCACTTTGTTTCCTTCAGGTTTTGGGGAAGTTGTCCTTGTCCCTAGCAGCAGAGGGATGTAGCAAGGGCTTACAGGACAGGGATGCCATGAACCAGCATTAGGCTAACTCCATTCACCAGGACTCGATCCAGACAGGCACCATCCCAGTTAGCAGGAGCAAATTTCCTTTTTTTTTTTTAACATTAACCATGTTCTTGCAGTCAGATCTGCAAGAGCAGAGACCTGGAGAGAGTCGGAGACATCTCAGTAAGGTGTTAAGAGGGAAGGGCCTCCCTGTACAGATCCAGCTGCAGATTCATGGATTGGTGCATAATTATTGACACACAGTCACTTCATATAAATGCACTGAAGTCACTTACAGCCTTAGCAATCTCTAGACCTGTGGTGAAAAGGTGAAACATTATGAGTTTAAAACCAACTGTATTTTACACTGTATCTTGAGAAAGTAATCTTTTCTGTCATTGCTAAGTCTGAACAATTTTTGTAACAGAAAAACCACCTGAGAGGTAGTATCTACAAGTAGAAAATCAGAGCTTTTTTGGGTTCTGTTTTTGGCCTTGCAGAAAGCTATATTCCTACTAAAAGTGTGAATTTTCAGAAAGGGAACTCCCCAGCTACACTTGCCATGCTGTTCAGGGGGCAGATACCCACTGTTTGTACATGCAAAACTTCTGTTTGCTGGGAGAAATTTGTTCTGAGGAAATACGTGAGTACGCACTAAAATTTCGGGTTATATTTAACCGAAGAGACTTGGGTGATACCATGCTATGTTGTACCAAAGACCCAAACCTGTCCAGAACTTAAATATGACTTTTCCATCCCATAGGGAGTATGAATGCTGTCAGGTTCAGTCCAGACAGAAAGCACTGCCTAGTGATGTCTCAGTATGTCTGTCTATCAGTATTGCTAATAATAATTTTATAAAGATAAAACATTTGGAGTATCTAACTCTGTTTTTACTGCTGCTTCCCCAAAGCCATCACTAGAAGTCCGTTTGAGATGAGAGTTAGAAATACTAGATGTTCATGCGTTTAAAAAGGAATCCTGCAATAATGTAATTCAAGTGCATCTTGACAAGAGTAATAGAATGAGCAAGTAGAATAAATCATTGGCACAGCTTGAATGTTTGTTTTGATATTTTAATGTTAAAAAACCACCATTTTTGTAAACTTTGAAAAATTTAAAAGATCTACTTCTCTTAATGAATTGTTTAAAAAATAATGTCAGATACTATGAAAATCTGTTACTTCAGAGTACAAAGAGCAAATGATTCTTTTTAAATTCTGTTTTCAGTTCATACGCGTGTACATGAAGAGGGAGATATATTTGTTTGAAGACCTTCCAGATTATTTTATCTTTCTAGATATACTTACAGTTCGGGTTTTGGGATACACGAGTATGTAGATGTTGCATCCAGCTACCACAAGGTTATTTGGATTGTTTAGCAGGCAGCAACTCAAATCTTTAGAAGTTGTGGGTTTTTTAATATTTTTTGAAAAATAAATTAATGTAAGTGAAGAAACATATTATACAGGACCGGGG